CTGTGTATTGATTTCATTTTTGTTTGTTTTCTCTTTCTATATTTTGTTTTGGTTTGCTATTACTAACTGTTTGCTCTGCGTTAACTTCACAGGCCCGTTTATCAGAGCTTGATACTCCAAAGCAAGCTGAACATTTGCAAAGATTAGAGGATCTGAAGAAACAGTTGATTGAACTAGAAAAGCAGGTAAACAATTGTTAAAATCCTCCATATTTGGTTTTACATGATAAATTGTCCCACACCATCATTTTAAAATATCTGCTTCTTCTTATAGCATGAGAAAGGAAAGCCTCTTGTAAACTTGGTGGACAATATGGTGAAACTGGGCTCCCTATACCGTAATGGTACGCCTAAATCTGGTCTGATGGGATCTTCAAGTACGCAAACACTTAGTGGTGTCCCTGTGCGAGAGAGACTAGAGTTTAACTATAAGGTTCAAGAGCAGCGCCTCCTAGCTGAGGAGCGACGGGACTGGGATCGCTTCAGCCCTGACTATGGGCAGCTTCAGGTAATCATCATCTACTGCTGTAACTAATGCCTTTTTTAAAAAATCATTTCAAAAGTAATATTGTTTCACTTCGATTAATTTTTATTTTTAGGCTAAGGTGCAACAGTTATATCGCTTGGATCAAGAGATGCAAGAAGAATCTCACACATTACAAAATTTACAAATAGATAAGGTAATGGTATTTTTTTATAATATACCTGCTTTTCGTCTCCCTTTTTTAAATTTTGCTATCTGAATAGTGTATTTCATTAATCAATGTCCCTTTAGGAACTTGTGGAAAGAGCTCTGGCGGGAATACGTTTAAAACTAGCAACTTCTCAGATACCGCCTAGTCTCAGAGACACACATAGAAAGCAGCAAAGGCTCTTGGAACGTGAGCTAAGTCGAGTTCGTCTGTTATTGGCTCATAACTCAAAGGTTGACCTGGTTACCTTTGCCTACTTTACTTTGGTTATAATTAACCTTCTGTTATATACTTCATGTTTATGTTGTTTCTTTTACTTTTCAGAAATTAGAAGAGACAGTTGCTGAAAATGCTAGACTTGAGCAAGAACTCGTTATATTACGTCAGAAGCTGCAGACGTCTCGACAAGAATCATTTTCCTCCCCTCCACTTGGAATGGTGGATGCTGACTATCCTTTAACTCCTGAGGACCCTCAAAATCCCACAGCTCAGTTGGAGGCTGAGCTTAAACGTGTACAACTCATCATGGGAGATCTGCACCGACAGAGACAAGAAATTAGTGTTGCTGTTAAGCAACTGACTGAAAAGTCAGACCCTGTTCGTCCTGGTCCAACTGGAGTCGCTGGTAAGTAAAATTTTAATTGTCCTGCACTTTTTTCTTTTGGTAGGCACATATATGTCAGTCTTTGGTTTGAAATAACACAGGGCACAATATTGATAATGTAGGTGCAGGACCCATTCCAGGAAAGAAGAGACAGCAAAGTTCATGGCTGGAAACCGACTTAGACTCCCTTGTTTCCAAAGAAACAGGAAATGGTTCACAACCTACCAGTCCTGTCTCAACAACAGGACGTACACCCTCCACAACCAGCACCATTCCTTTGTACGTCAACACTGGGTTGGAGAAAGGTCAAGGTACTAAAGTTGACTTATATTGTCATGGCAAATTTGATATCTACTCTTGCAACCACAAATATTTTTACAGATTCTTATCTATTCCATTCTATTGTTTGGTTTTATAGCTGAAGCAAGTGGCATAGGAGAAGAAGCTCTCTCACTTCTAACCCCCAATGAAGCCAGAGCTACAAGTCTCAGTCAGATTGAACTTAGTGAAGCTGATGACCGTATGAAAAGATTTTATGGTATGCTCAAAATGATATCAAATAAATTAGATCTTTTATATGGGTTACTGTTTTAATTAAAATGTGCTTTCAATTGGAATTTTTTGAAATCTTTCAGGAATCATACCCAAAGAAAAGCAACAAGAGTTCAAAACAGTGCGAATCGTGAAACGAGAGTCAGAGCGTCGGCAAAGAGATAGAGATCGCAGTGGTAACATAGGAATTCCCTTGTTTGCGCCAAATGGGAAACGAGTAACACTGTTTGAAGATCAAAATGAAAACAGTGTTACTATCATGGAGGCAAGTTACTGCTTAAAGATTCCAAGAGAAAACAAAACTGAAAATATTTTTAGCTAATTGAAATGTAATTTTATCTCTTCTTTACTGTAATATGTCCTGAATTTATTAATTTCCTTGCAGCGTTCACAGCAGGCTAATTTGGGACAGTTGTTAGAGACTGAAGAGAGGTCTTCTACTCTTACACCCATTTCCAATCATATTGAAACATTGGGTATTACTGCAACCAGCTCAACATCATCTTCACTTGGCAGCAGTGAACTTGCTTCATCAAATGTGTCATCCTCAATGACTTCTTCAATTACAAATACCACTACAGCAATGGCTTCTTCTTCAAATTTCATGAGTAACAGCTGGGCACAGGAAACATCCAGTAGTCAAGCTCTTGATGAAGCAATGGCCCAACTTGATGATGAGCTAGAAATAAATGGTGGCTCAGTTTTCCAACGGTCACTGTCTCTTCCACGAGGCTTTGGCAAAACAAATTCTCAAGGTATAGAAGTTGAAGCTGTCTCTAGTGTTGGACCTTTCAGTACATCCTCTAAAAAAAGCAATGGGTGCATCAGCTCCAGGAAGTGAGACTAATCTCTTGCTGGCTGGGATTCGTAGATAAAGAGTTCGGGTAAGTACAAACTAAAACTTTATAAGCTTAAAATCTTCAGCCTCCAAGTAGACCTCAATGTTAAAACTTCATGCTCCATTTCAGTTTGATACTCACTCTGGGAGTGGGAGTGAGAGTAACACAAGTAGTCCAAGTGGTTCTCGTCCTTTGTCTGCGAGGGAGCAATTATTTGGCAGTTTAGCCGATGAACACCTTTCTACTGGCTATACCATGCTTGGTCTAACTTCACGGGAAACTTCACCTCAGATGAGCCCAGTGTTTGCACACCATGCGGTATGTAGCTCAACATTTACCGTAGAGTAGTTTCATCAGCAAGATTTTGGACAAAGTAAACACCTTGAAACAATGCTTCCTCAATCACACTTCATTGCAGCTTTTAAAAATTTAAGACACGGTGAATCTATTCTGAGGGTTTGTTAAAATTTATGGGGGCCCCCAGGACAAAAAACTTTGAAAATTGGGAAAGTATGTAAATTCAAGAATTGAAGAACGTTCTCTTTCTATTTTTTCTTCTTCAAGTAATAAGGTTTTCTTTGAGTGCACACAGTTTTTATGGCCTCATATTTCAAAGTTTTGAGTCCTAGGTCTCTTTAATTCATGTCTATTATATGGGAGATCCCTTAATGTACTGTCTTTGTCTTTCAATTGTAATGAGAAGCCTCTGGTGATTGGTAGTCTATTGTGAATAGTTTCTCTGATAAAAGTACTAAATGAGTGTATTTGAAATGGTTGTGGCTCAGATGCCCCTGGGGATAGAGGTCTTTGCGTGATGGTTAGGTTTTGTACCAAATCTTTATAGAATCTAAAAAGAATTCTAAAAAATGTTACGTATGTGAAACAATATTTTCATAAGAATCTACCTTTTGAAACTGGAGAGAAATGATCAACCTTTCTCATGCTAGTTGAAATTTGCATGAGTATAAATGAAATTATAGTTTTATAACTGATATAAACTGAGCTAAAATTATACCTAAATTGGCACGGACTCTCCTCAAACTTTGAACAGAATGATGTAACCAACATGACAGATACAACCAATTGGTTTGATCCAATAGATTTAATCAACAGTTAAACTGGATATACCGCGATGTAGCCATAATTTAGAGCATACCTGTAACATTATACCAAATCGGAGAATCCAAAGATTCCAAAGTTAGCTAGCATGTAGCTTACTTTTGTGATAGCGCTTTTAAATTAGCTGGATTTAGCTAGTAGTCCAATCTAGCATAGTGTTCCCTAACTAGAAATTATTATATTGTAAGTATATTTTGTTGTGTGTTCCTCTTAAATACCTCTTGGATGTAGCTGTTTAAAACGTGAAGAAGTTCTTGGTGAAAGGCTGATACATGAAATTTGTATAACTTGTAAGATCTTCAGAAAAAATTAGGATAAAGTGCATGTTGCAAAGTTTGATCCCTGTCTTCTAAGAGTGGAAACTAGAGAAGTCTGCTAGCTAGCTATGTTTTTATCTCAGTTACATATTAGTTATAGGTATTCCAAGAGCTAGTTCTCATTATAAGTAATTACCGGTAATTTTGCATCCCTACAGCAGTGTTTGCTTTCTTTTGTATAGAAAAATGCGGTGCGCACACAATGCTTATCTGTCTAATACAGTACTTCACTGCTGTTTGCTTGGGATTTCTTTCACCAAAATTATTATGTATTTTAAGCAGCTTCTAAGGATGGCAACATATTTTCTGTAACCCTTCACATTATGGTTTGGGCTCTCTTTTCTTGGCTGTGAAAGTGGTGTCACTAATAGTCAATCTGTCGTTGTGTTTGAAAAGTGTGGTACAATTCAGACTGGGTTGTAAAGAGACTTAACTTTCTGCCATATCTTAAAAATTATATGTTAGAACACTAAAGATATATCTTAGTAATGTATTCTTAAAGAAAAAACAAGATTTAGAGATTTAGATTTTTCTGCTAGTTTCTCTTAGATGAGTTCTTTTAGATATCTCTTTTGATATCTGAACCGTATAGGCCAAGTCTTCCAACACCACTTTGCTTTGTAAAGAAACTTAGCAATGCTATACCATTTTCTACCTCTATTTACTTACTGTGTGTTTGTGTGTGTGTGTGTGTGTGTGTATGTGTATGTGTGTGTGCTTTAGAAAATGTATTGCCGCCATATAACTCTTTACTAATTTACATCGTCTCTTGGGTACTGTAGGCGTACCAGAGCGAGGCAGCTCGCCAAATCGTGATGGAAATGAACGCCTGCAGTCCCTCTGTCTTGCCTCCGCAGAAAGTGGCGCAGCAGAAACAGCTGAAACAAGCCCAGCAGCAGCAACACGCTCAGCGCCGTCTAGTTCCTAGAGAAAAGAGAAGACATCATACTGTGTCCGGAAGACCTCTATCACAAGTGTCAAGTTCTCCTCTACCTGTCTTGGTGTGTTTTATTCTTATACTAGGATTAAGAAATACCTTTTAAAAGAGAAGGGGGAAGTTTTGTGTGAGAAGGGGGAGAAGGGAGGGGAGGGAGAGTAAACACCTTGGTGTTAATTGACGCTGTGTGTTCCATGGATGTGTTAGTGACTTTGCTTTCTTTCTCATTATGTCACAGGGAACTACTAGGTCAAGAGATGATTTAGATATGGAAAGAGCCCTTCGCACCAGACATAATGCTGCCCCTGACGTAGTTCGTTCCACTCTTTCTCGACGTGCTCCAAAGTATGATGCAGACACAATTGATTCCATTCTGGGCACACCAGGTAAAATCCACATCCCTGAGAGTTATGTACCTGAGAATGAGCCAGCTCTAAGTCAAGAGGAGCGTATGCAACGTCTTCGCAAAGCAGATGCCATTCGAAAAATGTTGTCTGAAACACACTCAAGTACGACTTTGCCAAGTACATCAGGACATCAGGTTAGTTTCATCACATTCAAGAGTTTTCTCCATAGATGTTTTTACTTTTTTATCTAAGCATACATTTTTAAGAAATTTGCTATCAAGTAGATTACTGGTTTATATATCTATCTAAAAAAATATATGTTTTCAGGGGAGGAGGAACCACCAACGTTAACCCTGAAGAAAAAAGCTGCAGAAGAGAAGAAGCAACACAAGCACTTATTACAATTGAATCAGCTTCTTGCGAAACAAGTCATGGAGAAGAGTAAGATTGTAGCAGGTATGAAATAACTTTACTTTTGTTTTTATTTTGGGTTTTCCCTTTCTTGCATGTTGGTTTAGCTCTTTATTTTGATATTGTTATTATTAAATATACTGTATGTTGTTGAGTAACATGCAGAAGAGTATTGCCAGCTATAGTTAAAAATAAGATGAGAAAATATTTTTGTATTCTAAGGCAAACCAAATATCTAAATCCATCTATTAACTGCTTTTGAATTCCTCAAAATTCTTATTTGTGTTGTTCAGATAAATATGTACTGCTTGAAAAGCAATCTCCTAAACGGTGGTTGTGTGGTCAGAGTTTTACAGTAAAGCTTGTAGGATAGTATTTACAAACTTAGAGGAATACTTTGCTACTGTATGTAACACATGAAAAACTACCTACCTACTGTCTGTTAGAATGAAAATAAATGTGTATTGCACTTATCTGTCATAAAGGGGAACTTCATTGATACAACACATGTTGCTCTTTTACAGTAGATCTTAGAAACTTTTAAAAAAATACCTAGGTATTATTGATAGTTTCACTGGGTTTGTTGAGCTACTCATATGTTTTTTAGTAATTTCATTTGTTTTGTTTGTTACCATTTGCTTTTAAGTGCAACTTGGAATGTTTACTATTTAGGTAACTGATTCAACCTCCTTTTAGTAACCCTGATTATATTATTTTAGAACATTTTTGTAGCCTGCTGCTGAGTGTTAGTCATAACATAGTTAGTCATTTCATCTGCTAACTATGGGTGATGCATGTTCAAGTTTTTAACATTGATTGACCCACAAATACATTTAATTAGTGTTTGTTTTTGTGGATTGTTTGTAGTTTTTCATGTCCCAACCAGCATGATTTTATGTTGTCTTTTTTTATGTTGTATGCTGTAGTCTCGCTTAATGTGCTTGTTTAGGTTCACATCCTTCGAGCCAAGACTGCATGTAGCTGTGCCTGTGTGTTCTGCCAAGCTCACAGTTGCATCAAGGTTAGTTATCATTAATTTCTTTAGCTACCCTGGATTAGTTTAATGAACAGATTTCATACAGCACATCTATCCCAGAACTAAATTTTTAAATCTCATTTTAACTATGTTGTGTTTGGTCAATATTTATCTTTCAAGTATTAAAAAA